GAAAGATCTGGGTTTGAATCTTGGCTTTGCCGTTTATTATCTGTGACCTGAATCAGGTTCCTGACCTGTACAAAGGGAACTCCAATCACCTATGAGTGACTGTGGGCATTTGGTGTGGCACAGCCTAGGTGCATGGTCATGGCAGATGCTCCCTGAGTGTCCACTCCCTGCCTTACTCTGCCTCCAACATAAGATTAGGGAATGACACAGTGTTCTGGCTAGTGGATTTAATTTACTTGATTTCTAAACCCATCCTTCTCATTCCCTGTAAATTAACAGTTACCATTTCCCTGAAGTTTATTCCCACTCCATCCTGAACTGCCCACAACCTAGGGCTGGCATATGTTCTAGCATGAAAAGCAAATCAGGTACTTTTGAGTTAAAACAACACTGTCTTGTTTAAAGGTCTCTCTGTGCTGACCTGCCTCATTTCTGTCCCACTGACTGGCTTCACCTACAGTATCTGCTTGCTCCCTGGTACCTATCCTGCCAGTTTATATGCATATTTTCTGTTTGGCCTAATTTCATATTTGTACCTGGTTATTTTTTAAAATTAGCTTTAAAAAATAGGTAACACACGTACATGGTATAAAAACAATTCGAACAGTATACTGTACAAAAGGGCATGCAGTGAAAATTAAGTTCCTTTTCTACGCCTCCACCTTCTACCCATATTCTGGTCCCTGAGGCAACCATTATTACTCCTTTTTAGTATATCCTGCCAGGCACATTCTACTCATTTACAATCTATCTAGAGCTACCCACTTGTTTATTTTTACATAAATAGTTTACTATATACGGTAGGTCCTAACTTAACATTGTCAATAGGTTCTGTGACTTTAAGTGAAAGGACATATAAAGAAACAAATTTGAGCATAAGCTAATTGATATTAACGAGAGTTAATTTCCTACATCTCATCAACATTAACGAAATGATGTTGAATGAAATGACGTTATTTGAAGACCTGATATACTAAGTTCTGAGTTTTACTTTTTTTCACTAATATATTTTGACTATCATTCTATTAAAAACATGAAGATTTGCCTCATTTTAAAAAATGGTTGTAAACTGTTCTGTTTCATGAATGTACCAATGCCTTATTGAAATAATTCAGATGATTTAAGATACTTTGCTGAAAGCAATGCCGTAATGAATATGTATGTACATCAGTATTGAGCACACAAATGAGTACTCAGAGGAGAAATTCCTAGAAGCTTAATTACTCTCCTCAGCACTCTGGCATCTTGGATCAAGATATTTGCACATTTAAATTTTTGACTGATTTTGTCAAGATGCTCTCCAATGAGACAGCACCAATTTACACTTTTACCAACAGTGTGTAAGAATTCTGGTTTCCTCACAACCTGGCCAACACAGTACATTATTAAACTCTAACTTCTGCCAAGATGATAAGTGAAAAACAGTATCTCATTGTTTTAATTCACAATTATTTTAAGTGTGGTTGAACATCATTTAATGTGCTTTTCAAAAAAGACATTTCAATTTCTTTTTCTGTGAACTACATTCAAATCCATGTCCATTATGTTGTTGGTCTTTTCCTTATTGATTTGTAGTAACTCTTTGTGTGTTAAGGAAATCTGTTCTTCGTCACATGTTTTACAAATATTTTTGTAGGTTACCATTCATCTTTCGACTTTATTTGTAATGTTATTTTGTAATTCAAAAATCTTTCTTTTATGTAATCAAATATATTATTTTTTTATTTATGTCTCCTGGGTTTTATATCATGCTTACAAAGTCTAATCCTTCTCCAAGATTATATTTCCCGTATTTCCTTTGAGTACTTTGCAGTTCCATTCTCTTTGTTGTCGTTTAAAACTTTTATCTATTTGAAAATCCCCCCCACTCCACCAATTTTGCCCCTACCTTTTGTTTCTATCTAGTTTCTCCCAAGTCTCTCAATCATAACTTCTTATCCTTACTCTTTTACCCATTATAAATAGCTCACGGCCTATAAAAACTTATTCAATGTTATCGTTCACAATTCTAGCATTCCCACTGTTTAACAGGTAGATCTTTCCCCTGCCAAAAAGGGCCATTCAAGAAAGGAAGTGAGGGGGTTAATAAATCATCAGCTGTCTAGTACAGGGCTAAGTAAATGGCCTGCAGAGGGCAAACGGAATGCCCCCGGAGCATCCAGCTTGGAGCTAGGTGCTAGGAGGAGATGCACATGAGATGATTTCTGACCTCAGACAATGTTGCCTAGTTATAGAGACAAAAATTAAGTCAAACTGTGGGACAGGAATTAAGGAGATAAGAGAAAGAACGTATCAGGGTGGACTGGAGAAATGGAAAGGGTTTATGAAGATGTAATTCCAACTTGGCTGTGAAAGGTGGCTAAAACTTAGACGAAGTTGACAAAGAAAGGCATTTCGGAGGGGGCAATAGATATGGGAAGGAATTAGTTTGGCTTGTCTAGGGACCTGGGGAGACCAGAATGGGAAGATAAGAGAATGTGCCGAGAAAGCAGGAGCAAGAGGAAGGCAAGCCAGGCTTTCAGGAGATGGTATACTTTGTGCTAACTGGCTGCTTCTTAGTGTAAAAGTGTACTGCCTGCTCCTACGAGGCCTCATAGAGTTATAGCTTCTCACCATGGATGTTTTCCTGTTGGTGAAGCCATAAAGGGAAGTTTTGGCAGAAGTGGTTTGACTTTCAAGTCTGATGAGGAGCCTACTTTCCATGAGATTTTTAGCTAAGTTAATATATATTTTTTTAAATTTCTAAATGAATACAGGAAAAACTGGCAACTTTAAAAGCCCCCTGCATCTTCTCGTGACCTGGTATAGGCTGGTGACCTGGCTGGCTTCTTGGGACACTTCATGGACTACTCTGACTGCTCCTATAACTGTGAAGCTCTAGGCCAAGTCCGAGGTAGTCAACGAGATCATGGGAGGTTCCCTCAAATGCTGCTGCTTTTGATTCCAGGAAAAAGAGAGGATCTAGGCCGCAAAGGAGCCCATCCATGGCTTCTCCTTTGAGACTGAGTCAGAGAAATTTTGGCTTGCAGCCCACCGTTCATGGCTCCACCCTTGAACACAGCCACAGCCACAGCTACATAACATCCCTGTCTAGATTCAGAGTTGGGCTTCACTCTGAACTGGCTTCTAAGTCAGGAAAATAATTTTTTTCCCTTTCGTTTTCTCTGTTACTTGGTGTTTGTTCTGACTTGGAAATGGTACACTATGACTTCAGGGTGAGCCAGAGGTTTGTTCTCGGTCTGTCAAGCCACTTTGATGATGGGAATAAAATCTTGGGAGGAGCAAGCCAGCTGGACAGGAAATGAAGCCACAGAGTTTTGGTGGGCTTGGGGCTTTTTTCTACCCCCAAATGGAAAAACCCTGGCATAGGGCACAGTATAATGAAGATTTAAAGTGCTTGAAAAAATCTGAAGTGGTCAGGGTCTAACAGATGGGCTTAAAAACAACATGAGAGCAGTTTTAGAAGGAGCAGCAGGAAACAGGTAGTATGAGGACTAAGGTTACATACATCAAATGAAACAAAGGGCTTGTTAAGAATTTTGCTCTCTTTCCATTTTTTATCATTTGTCCCTTGACAAATATCTGCCCGAGAATCTGATTAATATGTTTCTGCCTTGGGAAATCTCTGAACTCCGTTAAACCTTCTGCCTTCACTCCTGGAAGTTGGGGGGAAGCAGAAGGCAAGGCAGAGAGAGTAGGGCTTCCCGGACATGGCCACAAAGGCGCTAGTGTCTAGAAGACAGCGGGAGCTCTTGGGAAGGCTGTGATAAATTATCCTCTTCTCCCATCCCTTCTAGAA